GGTTGCCATGGGCTACTGTGTGTAGCCAGCAGCCAGCGTGAGCAGCCAGCAGCCGCAGTGAGCGGCCGTCCAGAAGCCGGTGACTGATGTGCCTCACTTGGGAAGAGCGCAATGATGGTGCCAATGATGGGCCAGCGAAGCAACATCCTCCACAACTAGACTGAAGAACAAAACGACAGCAACTTGTCTGTTTCTCTTCCCCCAATTCCCCAGCACTGTTCCCATCCCCCAATTTCCCAATAAAAAATCTTTAAAAAAAAATGCCAGTGGCAAACCAGAAACCTTCCACATTAGGAAAGGATCGCAAGAATGGAGGGAAATTTAGAAATAGCCCCGCTCCCTCACTTTCCAGGGCGTGTGACTGGCTCACCTGCAGCTCAGACAGGGGTCCTGGCAACACAGCAGTGCTGGTTTGTTGTTCGGAAGAACATACTGCCTGAAATCCACCAGGGATCAAATGCCAGCATCTTGCAAAACAAGAACTGTACCATAAGGGAGAAAACGGAAAACGAGGAGGCATCCGAGATTAGAAACACCTTGTTACGGAGCTGACTGCGGCGTGGGAGCGCGGTGGTGCTGACGCAGCCTGGGAAGGCCCTGGAGACTTCAGAGCGTCCCCTGCACAGCAGGCCCTGGGCGCCCGGCCCTGGGAGCACAACCCGAGGACAAAGGAGCTTTCCGTCATGTTCCCAGTGAAAAGCAAACGTGTGCTCCAAAACACAGGCACTGTGGCCGAGTGAAAATGCTCACGTGCTCTCATGATGCACCCTCCCTCGGTCCCTCCCTCGGCTCTGCTGTCCCTTGTGCTCTTCCCAGGTGGCAGGAAGGACAGCCATTGCAGCCTCTGGACACCCACCACTGAATGACAGCAGCACAAAGGCTGCCCCTCTCTCCTGCAGGGTCCTGGGACAACACCTATGAGCAGCGCCCGAAGCACTCAGGCTGACAGCAGACTAGTTTCCAAAGAAAAACCGGGAGTAGGCCACCAAAAGGAGGGGCAGGAGTGCTGGCTGGCCAAGACAGCAGATGTCCATTCGGGCAGCGTGCGGGAAAGCTGTGCGCATGTCCCTGTGTCCGTTCCAAAACCAAATGTAAATGGCTCTGGGCGATCCATTTTTTGTGTAATTCGCTGTAATTAACAGAGGAGGCTGAGAAGAACCGGCCCTTTTGGCATTCTGGCAGCCCCACCCCAGCATCACACATGAGAGCCCCTTTCTGAGCTAAAACACCTAGATGCCTGGTCGTTCAGACACTCGACCGCCCTGGAAGGACCACTGGATCCCAGACGCCGGTCCAGACTTTGCCCCATGGAGCTTACATTCCATCGGGGAGACAGGGAGTGGGACATGTCAGCGGATAAGCGCTTTGGGGAAAGATAAATGAAGGAAAAGCAGGTTAGACAATTCCAGCAATTGCAGAGGGGCAGGCTTTCATTTCCAAATAAGGGGTTCAGGTGACCTGGTAGGGTCACATCTGAGAGAGAAGAAAGGAAGAGAGGGAGCCACGCAGGTCACTGGAGGGAGAGCATTCCAGCCAGGGACCAGCAAAGGCAGAGGCCCTGCGTGACAGCGTGCTGTGTGCGGTGACAAAGTGCAATCACCCAGTAAAGCCAACACATGCCAGCAGAGCCCAAGCACCCCGTGGCATGGCAGAGGTCGGCACAATGGCTGAATCTATACCAGAACCACGGCTAGGGCCAGGGTAAGTGTGTGACAGCCACGACAGGTCTGAGCTGTGGGCTGCGTGGCCTGCACTGTGGTCTTAGACCAGTGACGGCCCCTCCTGCCTGCTTCCTCACCTGCCAGGTGGGCACGCAGTGAGCAGTCGTGCTCTGTTGTCATCCCCTCCCAGAGGGGCCTGTTGTCGCCACCTCCTCACTCCTGGCCTGCAGGGGGCGCACTCTCCCTTCCTGCCGCTGCCGCCGCCGCCGCTGCGCCCCTGTGGCCGGCTCCTAGGTCTTTACCCTCATCTGTCACCAGATCTCCGCACCCCTGCAGCCCCCATCACTCTCTCCATTCCGGCCCTAACGGGGGGGAGATCCCAAGCTGCCTTCGCCCAGCTGATTCCACATTATAACAAAGTATATGTACTACATACATGAACATAAACACCGCACAAAGTGTTAAGCGTCGTACACACTGGACGGAAACGTTGTAGCCAAGGGCACGCACTGCACACACAGAATATAAACACGAACTCTCCACGCTCGCATTTAGTCTCACTCGTATAACCTACACCCACCAGACCAGTTTCTCAGGGCCTACGTTTCATTCACTTTTGAATCCCGCCCCCCCTTTGCCAAAGCCAGACCTCAGCTCGTCGGGTACCCAGTAAATAGTGGATGCTCAAAAATATGTACTGACAATGCCTGAAACAGATGAAGGAAAGAGTGAACCAGCGAATAAACAAATCAGTTTCCAGACAAAAGACAAGTTTTGCCGAAGAAAGGCCTTCTTAAAGTCGGCCAGGGGCCCCGAAGCACCGTCCATGCGGCAGACGCCCCCTCACACCGCTAGGCAGACCCGCGCACACTCACCCTGTCGCTTTGTCTTCCAACAGCTCGGCTTGTTCCCACACTTCGGCGCAGTCACTCATAGCATCTTACGTACGTGTGCCAAGGAGATGGCCTTCCCGACGTTCCCTCCAGGCCAGGGGTCGGCAAACTTCTGAGACGGAAGAGCCAATCCTGTCCCTCACAACAATTTAAAAATTATTCGAGAGCCATACAACAAATGAAATCACCATTATGTGAATAATATCCTTTAAAAACTCTATAAATGAAACTATGATAGTTTTCATTTTCAATTTTACTTCAGAGCCACATGTACACACCCAATGAGCCACACGTGGCTCGCGAGCCACAGTTTGCCAACCCTGGTCTAGACCAAAGTTTGATACTTAAAGAAATTGTACATTTCCTTCACTCCTGTTCCCCAACATTTTATAGTGAGAATATGCAAACATAGAAGTTGAAAGAATTGTATGCGAACATGCGCTT